TCACTGAGCTACTCCTAAGCCAGACGCTCTGTTAAGCCAAGGACTATAAACCTACCTGAGGCTCACTCTTCATGCTGCATTTCTTGGAAAATCCAAGCACAGAGGAGTCCGTGAGCTGAATGCTATAAAAGCACAAACGAACTGGAGCAAGTGCGGGCCCTGCAGGCCTCGGCCCAGTGAGGAGTGCAAAGTTGCTTCACATTTTTTTCTCCCTAAGACTTATTTATTTGAAAGACAGAGTTGAGAGGGAGAAAGAAGAGAGAGATCTTCTATCCATCGATTTACTCTTCCAATGACTGCAGAGGCCAGAGCTGGGCCAGGCTGAAGCCAAAAGCCTTGGAACTCCACCCAGGTCTCTCACCTGAATGGCAGGGGCCCAAGCACTTGGGCCATCCTCTACTGCTTTACCAGGGATGTTAGCAGGAAACTGGATCAGAAGAAGAGCGCCATGACACTCTGGGCCGCTGGTGTTGTAGCCCCACATTTCTTTTTAAACCCTCTTTGGGTAGACCAGTGAAACAGGAATCCCAGAATAAAGGCTCCCGCAGAGTGGGAACCTACCTGGGAAGCTTCTCTCACAGCACACCTCACCTGGGTCAACACACATTTGCATGTCAATGTATGGATTACAGACTTTCCCTTGTCTCAGGACAGGAAGGTGCTGTGTTTCCCACAGGGCCCACACTCAGCCAGGCCGCTTTCAAATCCCCTGCAAGGTGAGACCTGAGAACCGAGACTCAGGTCCCAAGGGCCCCAGCCGCCTGGCGTGAACGGCACTGTCTCTTTTCCTCCTCCTCTCGATGCCAGTGATTCTATTTCGTAACTCGCCCTGCCTTCAAATGCAGGCCTGGCTTCCTCTGGTCCCAGAAGCTGTGCCAGCTTCTTGCAGGAACCACCTGCATTTTGACATTCTATTTGGAACTGGTCATTTTAAAAAGCCTGGTGCTTGTAGGGGAAGGAAGATGGCTTTGAGAAATATCCATGAGCTCACCAGGTATGGATGGAACTTTTCAAACAGGCCACATTAAACACCAGGTCTTGAGCTTGGGGCCCCAGGCCCCTGCTGCAGCCACCGCTGCTGTGAGGAGCAGGTGGGGAGGCTCTGAGCGTATCAGGTGTGCAAAGTACAGGTGAACAGGTAACTGGATCCCCGCAGGTGCCCCGAGGTGGCCCAGGCACCGAGTGTGATTAGCAGAGGGAAACAGAGCTGGTGGGAGTGGGGAGGCAGCCTGCAAAGCCGTGTGGCTCTCACCTGGCAGGGCTGAAGCCGGCCGGCTAACCCAGCCTATCCCTGCAGGACCGCCCTGCGCTGGTTCCAGTCGATGAAAGTTGATGCAAATCAGCGCGATTTCCTCTGCAGCAATAATTAACCCCCGGGAACCTTGCCGGAGCAGGTAGTTTCGGGAGAATGGTGCTGGAGATGTTGGAGGGAGATTAGCATTTTTTAGCTTTCCTCGCAGTGATTCGCGCTGCATCTTGGTGTGTGTTCAGTTCCAACTCATTACCATAAAAAAATCCCCCATAAATTAAATTGCTAGTCGGAGAAAATTGACTTCGTGTAGGGAGATAGAGAGCCAGGGAGGCCAGTCTGCTTTGGCGGGGACCTGACTGTGAAATGGTGGGCAGCCTCAGTTTCCCGAGCTGTCGCGGATGGCCCTGCCCTCTCACCACCTCTGGAACGTGCCTGGCCCAGCAGGTTCATGGATCTGAGGCCTGCCTGGGCCTGTAGGAGCCTCTGTCTGGCTGCCTGGGTAGGCGGCTGTCCAATGGCACGTGATCCTCTTGGAGTATAGGACTCTCTCCTCGGCCCACCACGTGTGTGCAGCTGCCCCGACCTGGTGGCCTCGGGGACCGAGGGCTCTGAGAGAGTGGGCCCTCTGTTGTGACCACTTTCTATCCCAGCCTCTAGGCAAGGGCTACTTGTGAAAACAGAGAGGGAAGAACAGGAGGGAGAAGCCTTCCCTGGGTCTTCAGCTCTGGTGGCTTACTCTTATTTTCATCCAGTATTTAAAACAAGTTTTATTGATTTGAGAGGTAGGAGTATTGATTTGAGAGGTGGGGGTGGGGAGAGAGAGAGAGAGAGAGCGAGCGAGCAAGCAAGAGCCATCTGTTGGTTCTCTTACCAAATGCCCACCATGACCAGGGCTGGGGCTGAAGCAGGGAGCTGGGAACTCAATCCAGGTCTGCCACATGGGTGGCAGGACCCAGTTCTTTGAGTCATCAGCACTATCTCCCAGGGCGGGAATTAGTAGGACCCAGCAGTCAAGGGGCTAGAATGGGATATTGAGCCCAGGTACTCTGGATGGGACATGGTGTCCTAGCCAGGGTCATGACCATGACTGCTAGGCTAAATACCTGCCCTTTGGACACATTTTTAAATTGGTTCTTAACCCTGCCCCTCCTTACACCCTTAGTATCAGTGAGAAAAATCCTGTCGATTATCCACATTTCACTGACCAGCCCTGCAGGCACAGAGCAGCAACTGTGAACTGGCTAAGAGAGAGGCTCCAGGGCCCCCTTCTCACCTGTGCCCCTTCCCTCCCGGGGGCTGTGCTTGGAAGGGGTCATTAGGCAGATCTGAGGCCCTGAACTTATGGGGGGGGGGTGTATAAAGGCCTCAGGGCTTCTAGAAATCTTCAGTTGACCTGTGGTTTCCAGAGTGATCCATTTGCATTCCTTTATCTGTTCAAGGAGGCTGATTCCTTTGGGGTCCTCCAATGTCAGCAGCCCCTTTGGGATGTGCAGACCCATCCTGAGACCCCCAGCCTTCTAAACGAAGTACTGTCGCTTTAGGGGACCCTAGAGCCAGGCGGAGAACACAAAGGGAATTGCTGGCTCTATCGGGGTGGTTTCTGCTTGTGATGGCATCAGTCTGGTTATCCCTAGCAAACTTTCATTTTTTCCTGACTACTAACAAAATGCAAAGATAAGTGAAACAGAATCCTTGGAAAACGAACATGCAGCGATCTGAGTGCAAGTCTGAGAAACAGGGGCACATGACCAGGAGGTCTGTCTTTGGTGTCAGAGAAGTGGGGGCTGCATGTGTGGCTCTGTCGTGGAAAGCCATGTGACTGCGTAAATTGCTTGACCTTGTCAAACCTCCGTTTCCTCTTGAGTAAAATCAGGATTATAATAGCACGCCTCTCAAAGATTTGCTCTGAGGATTAAGTCGGAGTTCTATAAAGTGTGTAGTAAAGTGCCTGAGCTCTATCACAGACAGGGCGGCAAGATGCACAGCCCTGAGTGATCAGAGGACCTCAAGGCTGATGCGGACCTCGGAGGTCCTGGGGGCCAGCTTGACAGACACGTGTCAGGGCCAGCCAGGCAGAGGGTCTGCCCTGGGGCTCAGGGTGAGCTTGTGGGGGCACCAGAACTGAGCCTCCTGCCTCTTCCCAGGTGGCAAGAAGCAAGCCTCTTTTTCACTTCAGCCTGCCTCTTGGCACAGGGAGATCACGTCCTGTGGGACTGAGAGGTATTTGGCTAAGTAGACGACACGGTCTTTGGTTCAGGAAGGAGAAATTCTGTTGCTCCGTGCTTCTGCACATTCCAGGCTCTCCCTGTAACATATAACCTCCTCAGCCAATGCAGGAAGAAGGAACTGGAGGCAGCAACACACTGGTTTGCACAACGTGATCGGACAACACGGGACCAAAGTCATTTCTGCAGCCTGTTCCTGACCTTGCGAGCCTGCTGGGCTGTTCCTTTCTTCTCACATCCACTGCCACTTGTAACAGTGGAGCCTTTTTCACACAGCAAGTCAGGTGTGTGCCCCGAGTGAGTGTTACTGTATACGCACAAAGGGATGGAGTGGGTTGAAGCTGGGTGAAAAGGACATGGTCTGCGTGGTCGGCCAGCTTCACCCTCCAGCTATGTGGCTTCCATGTTCTGCTGGATTCCAACTGGGCCAGAGTTCAACGGCAAACCCTCTCACTCATCAGAGTCTGTCAGCAGAGGTGAGGTCATGCTGCAGGAACAAGAAGCCCCCAGCCTGCTGCAGTGGCTTAAAACAGCAAGCTTCTCCCTTGTGATAGCCTTGTAGTTGACAGGGGGCGCTGGTCATTGCGAGGATCTGGACAGTTGAAGGCCTCTTTTTGACTTGTGCTCTTGGGATTGCAGGGGAGGGACCTAAGGGAAGGTGATGAATCATACACTGGCTCTTAACACCTCCATCCCTCTGTCTGGAAGGGACACCATCATTTCTGCCCACATCTTATTGGCCAAAACAAGTCTTTTGGTTATGCTCAACTTGGAAGAGGGCAGGGAAGTGCAATCCTACTGCATGCCCAACAACAGAATAGGACAGAAGAGAAGAGAAGTGTTTATTCTTTTATAATTGGGGCTGGTGTTTGGCCTGGTGGTAAAGATGCCTCTTGGGATGCCTGGGTTCAAGTCCCAGCTCTGCTCTCAATTCCAGCTTCTGGCCGGTGTCCATCCTGGCTCAAATGGTTGGGTCCTTGCCACCCACATAGGAGATCCTGTTTGAGTTCCTGGATCCTGGTTTAGCACTGGCTGTTATGGGCATTTGGGGAGTAAATTAGCAGATGGAAAATCTCTTTCTCTTGACCTTTCAAATAAATAAAAAATAAACATCTTTATTGAGTTTTCCTTCATATAAACTATACATATTTAAAGCATACAGTTTGATAAATTCTATGCATGTGTATACCTGTGAAACTTCTACCACAATCATGATAATGAACATCTCCATAATGGCTGACAGTTTGCGGGTGCTCCCTTGCCGTCTTTCAGCCCCCACATCCCTACTTCCCAGTCCCTAGGCAACAACTGATCTATTTGCTTTCCATCACTGTATAGATTAATTTGCATTTTCTAGGATTGTATATAAATGGAATCACACAGTATGCTTTCTTTTTATCTGGCTGCTTTCACTCTGCACAATTATTTTGAGATTCAGCCATGTAGAAGGGGAATCTTTGTGATCAACCCTAACACCTATCACAACAGACTTTTTGGTTCATAGATGTCATTCTTTCCAACAGGAGAGTTGCTATGGGTTGAATTGTGCAGCCAGCCCTCTCCCCACTCCTGAGTTCATATTTTGAAGGACTAACCCCCAGTCCCTCAGCATGTGACCTTACTGGGAGACAAGATCTTCAAAGAGGTAAGGAAGTTAAAATGAAGTCAAAAGGGCAGTCTGTAATCCAATCAGTCTGGTGTCATCCTAATAGAGGGAGGTTTGGACACAAGCAGCAGGCAGGGAAAGACCTTGTGAACTTGAAGATGGCCAACAAGCCCAGGAGAGGGGCTTGAGCAGAACCTTCCCTCTCAGTCTTGGGCAGGAACCAACTCTGCTGACCCTTGACCTTGGACTTCTAGCCTCGGGAACTGGGAGAGAATGAATGACTGTTGTTGATGCCCCCAGTCTGTGGCATTTGTTACGGTAGCCACAGAAAGCAAACACAATAACTTTGATGCTGGGGCCTGTGTTATTACACCACCAGTGACGCTGGCAGCCCTTATGAGTACCAGTTGGAGTCCTGGCTGCTGCACTTCGGATCTAGCTTCCTGCTAATGCACCTGAGAAAGCAATGGAAGACCGCCCAAGTTCTTTGTCCCCTGCCATCCACATGGAAGACCCATATGCAGTTCTAGGCTCCTGGCTTTGGCTTGGTTCTCCCAGCTTTGGTGGCCATTTGGGGAGTGAACCAGCACATGGGAGAGGTCTCTCTCTCTGTACCTCTGCCTTTCAGATACATAAGTAAATCTTAAAAAGAAAAGTCAACTTTCACATCCCTGGTGAGCAGACTTAAATGAGTTCCCTCAGAGATCTTGAAATACAGGTGTGAGTGTGAGGACAGGGCCTTGGCATCAGACAAGCACCTGACAGCTCACAGCTGCATCGTGAGCCGAGACATCCTTTGTCTCTTTGAGGTGGCCTGGGGAAGGAAGTGAGTGAAACAAAGCCCTTCGGGCTCCAGGTTCTGCTTCTGCCTTGGGGTACTCAGAGGTACTGCCAGGGAGGCCAGGTTGAGAGCAGGAGGCACGAGGGCGCTTCCGTCTCTCTGACCCCCACAAAGAGCCCGAGGAGCCTATTAAAAATCCAGCCCTGCACTGCTGGCCACAGTTGTTACACTGCTGCAAAAACAGTGACAAAGCCCAGATAACAAGGAGGCCTCTGTATGCCTGGCTGCCAACTGTAAAAGGACAGAAAGCTGGGGTCCTCCTCCCTGTTGTGGGCTGGGGTCCTAACAGTGCAGCAGGAGCTCAGCACTTGTGTGTCTCTCCCACCCCCAGAGATGTCACCTGCCATGGTGGTGGTGGGTCACATGTTTCCCTTGCCCCAGTTTCCTAGGCCCATCAGTGGACGGGCCTTGGCTTGGTGACAGGTGCAGTAGGAATACAAGGCATTATTTTGAGGTTAGAGAATTTCATCTGACACACAGCAAGCATTTGTCGTTTGCCTGCCTCGTTTCAGATGCTGTGTGACGCCATGCTTTTACATGGATTCCATTTAATCCTGATGGCAATCCTGTGAGATAGGAATTCCATATGCATAGATGGCAGGAGGACACAGAGACTCCTAGAGAGAGCACACAACTGGGGAGGTTCTGGGATGGCTCCAGGACATCCATGTCAAGGATAAGATGCACAAATCACTTAGGATGTTGGGGTGGGTGTTTGGTGTAGCAGTTAAGAAACCACCTGCAGGGGGCAGGGGGCAGCACTGTGGCACAGTGGGTTAAAGCCCTGGCCTGCAGCGCTGCATCCCATATGGGCACTGGTTCAAGTCCTGGCTGCTCCACTTCTATCCAGCTCTCTGCTAATGCACCTGAGAAAGCAGCGGAGGACGGCCCAAGTGTTTTGGCACCTTCACCCATGTGGGAGACCTGAAAGAAGCCCTTGGCTTTGGCCTGGCCCAGCCCCAGTTGTTGCCCATTTATGGAGTGAACCAACAGATGAAAGGTCTCTTTCTCCCTCTGTCTCTACCTTTCTCTGTAACTCTGCCTTTCAAATAAATAAAATAAATCTTAAAAAGAAAAAGCCACTTGGGATGCCTGCATCCATATCAGAGTGCCTGGGTTCAAATCGTGGTGGTGTACACCCAGGGAGGAAGCAAGTGGTAGCTCAAGTGATTGGGTCCCTGCCACCCACATGGAAGACCTGGATTGAGTTCCATGCTCCTGGCTTTGTCCTGGCCCAGCCCAAGCCCCCAGCCCCAGCTTTTATGGGCAATTGGGGATTGAGTCAGCAGATAGAAGATTTTTGTCTTTCTCTATTTCTCTGCCTTTCAAATAAAAAAAAGTATAAAATTTTAAAAATCACTTAGTATGTTACTAGAATATTCAGGCACTCAAATATGTGAATTTACTTCTTTTTTCCTTTGAATGCTGTACTGTGAACTGTGTGTCTGTGTTCTTGAGGGCAGAACTTGCTGCTGTGAGACACGATGGGAGAACATAGCTCACTGGAACCTGTGGAATGCTGAAGAGAATTACGAGATATAGAAAATAAAAATGCAAGACACCTAGTTAAGTTTGAATTGAATTTCAGATAAACATCATACATTTTTAGGGGAGGGAGTCGTAAGTATTCCTATGCAATATTTGGAAAATAGTTATATAATTTTTGAAGACTGATTTCTTTATTTGAAAGGCAGAGTTATAGAGAGATGGATATATGTATGTATATATATATATATATATATATATAGAGAGAGAGAGAGAGAGAGAGAGAGATTGATTGATTCTGTCTGCTGGTTAACTCCCCAAATAGCTGCAACAGCTGGGGCTTGGCCAGGCTGAAGCCAGGAGCCTGGAACTACATCCAGGTCTCCCATGTGGGTGGCAGAGCCCCAAGTACTTGGGCTATTTCTACTGCTTTCCCATGTGCATTAGCAGGGAGCTGGATTGGAAGTGGGGCAGGCAAGTCTCAAACTGGTGCTGATATGGGATTCCAGCATCAAAGGCAGAAGCTTAACCCTCTGTGCCACAACGCCGGCCCCAGAATATACTTACGAAAGATTATTTTTTGTTATATTAAATTCCGACTTAATTGAGCATCCTTTATGTAATGGGCAACCGTAGTTCCAGCTGCAGTGTATAGTTGCTCTAATGCTAAAGGAGGCCTAGTTTTTGCTCAATCCAGAACTCCATGGTTTCTCCAAAACTCTTTCTGAAATCAACCTCACCATCCACACCTGAAATCACAGAATGACAACTTGGACAGAATCTGAACAGCCATGTTTTGTTTGGCAGGCACAACTGTAATTAAAAAAGAAAAAAAATTAGTCAATTTTCACAAATCAAGAGCTTGCACACAAAAGTCTAAGTTTCTAGCATTCTTAAAAAACAACAACAGAAGCTAAAAAATACAGCCCTGTCATGCTGAGCCCTGAAGACCATGTGGCAGCTGGGAACTGGAACTGAGAACCTGCAGTCCACTTAGGTGGGGCATGAACATGCCAGTTTGTCTCTGTCCCCATTGCTCCCTGTGGTTACATCTAGCCCCCTTGTCCTACTTCTCTTCCCCATCCAGCTCCTGCTAGCATTGAATTTTCAACCCTCCTGATCTACACCATATGCCAGAGGGTCTGTTTCTTGCAATGACAGAAAAATATGCCCTGAGTCTTCAGTCCAGTGCCCCTTCTATTTCCACCCATCTCATTGCCTCTCCCTCTCTGTCCTTATTTCCAGGCACTGATGCCCAAGCACTAGTTGCTATGCGGTTACCCCTAATCGCAGGGCTCGGATTGTCCCTGAGGCCAGTCCAGGGCCATATGGAGGCTTCCTTCAAGCATCTCCAAGAAGCCCATGCTGAGAAGCTGTCTGGTACACAGAGTTACATTGCCACGTGGTGGAATTTCTTTATTGTACAGATGAACAAGGGGAAAATGTGACTCTTAAGAATTATGTACAACTAAGCTGTGTGCAGCTGTAACAAGACAACAGAAAAGTGGGAATTTCTCATGTTATTATTGAAGATCCAGCTTCCACGCTCTGCTCTTCTCTGCTTCAGGGTGCTATAGCACCATGTGCCTAATGAGTCCTCTCTTTGACTGATTGATTGATTGATTACTAAAACACTCACACTCCTAGCAAAGCAGTTCTCACTTTGTTGAACAAATTATCTTTATGCATCATAATCTCTTGAGCTTAGATGAAGTAGAGCTCATTGTAATCTTCACATCATTTAGCAATGTCTGGGAAGCTTTGTATTTGAGACAAGTAGCTAGATATTTGGAAAAGGAGTAGTAATAAAAGAAGGGCCTCTTTGTTTTCTAATCTAAATTAGGGATTGGGAGCAGGCATTTGGCGCAGTGGTTAAGTTAATGCTTGGAACACCTGCATCCAATGCCTGGTTTGAGTACTGGCTCCTCTTGTTTCCAATCCAGCTTCCTGCTAATGCATACCCTGGGAAGTAGCAGGTGACGGCTCAAGTACTTGGTTCCCTGCCACCCATGTGGAAGAACCATATGGAGTTCTGGGTTTCTGGCTTCTTTTTCTTCTCTTTCTTTTTTTTTTTTTAAGATTCTTTATTTATTTGTTTGAAGGGCAGAGTTAGAGAAAGAGGGAGAGACAGAGAGAGCAAGAGAAAGATCTTCCATCTGCTGGTTCGCTCCTCAAATGGCCACAATGGTTGGGGCTGGGCCAGGCTGATTCAGGAGCCTGGAACTCCATCAAGGTCTCCCATGTAGGTAGAAGAGTCCCAAGCACTTGGGCCATCATTCACTGCTTTCCCAGGCACATTAGCAGGGATCTGGATTGGATGTGGAACAGCTAGGATTTAAACCTGCATTCATATGGGATGCTGGCATCCCCAGGTGGTATTTTAATCCAGTGCACCACAATGCCTGAACCAGATTCCTGGCTTCTGTCTGGCCTAGCCTTGGGAATGAACCAGCAGATAGAAGATTTCTCTGTATATTTTCAAATTAAATGATGAAAATAAGTAAACTAATTAAAAAATAAATTAGGGATGGGCAAAGTACTGTCTACCAAATCTGACCTGTTGCCTGTTTTCATTAAGTTATATTGGAACACAGCCACACTTTCTTATTTACATATAATCTATGGCTGCTTGTGTGCTACAAGAGTAGAGTCAAGTTGCATCAGCAACTTGGCAGGGTACAGCCTGCCAAGCCTGAAATCTTTACTACCTGATTCTTTGCAGAAAAGGTTTTCTGATCTCTGAGCCATTTAGCAGTTCTCCAGGTAGATGTTATTATCTGCTCTTCACCCAGGGAACTGGCCCTTAGAGCCAAAGCAGGGTGAAAGTGGAACTCTGTTATTTGATCCCAGACCCATCATTGTTTGACCAGATGCCCACAGGATAAAATCCAAAAGTCTCTAGTATGGGGAGCTGGGATTATGGCACAATGGGTTAAGCCATCACCTGCAACACCCAACATCCCATATGGGAGCTGGTTCAAATCCCAGCTACTCCAGTTCCAATCTAATTCCCTGCTAATGGGCCTGGGAAAGCAGTGGATGATGGCCCAAGTGTTTGGGCCCTTGCACCCACATGGGAGACCCAGATAGAGTTCCAGGCTCCTGGCTTTGGTATGGCCCAGCCCTGGCCATTGTGGCCATTTCAGGAGTGAACCAGCAGATGGAAGATCTTTCTTCCTCTGTCCCTGTCTCTTCCTCTGTAATGGCCTTCCAAGCAAATAAATATATCTTTAAAAAATGAAAAATAAATAAAAGTCTCTAGCATGGACCCAGCCCACTTGTCCAATTCCTCCATCCCTCGCATTGCTCAGACCAACAACTTGAACTTCTTGTTGGTTTCCCAACATGCTTGTAACTTCATGTGTCTGTATCCTTGTCAATGATATTTCCTTTTCACAAAATCCTGCACCCTCCTTCTTCATAAGTCCTCAAGTAGCACTGAAAAAACGTTGCCTCCTTGTTGAACCTTCTCTGACTTTGTCGCACAGAACTGAGAAGAATGAGAGCTAACGGAGTGGGCATTTAGCCTAGCAGTTAAGACACCCACATCCTATACTGAAGTGCCTGGGTTCAACACCAGGCTCTAGCTCCTGAACACAGCTTTCCACCAGTGCAGACTCTAGGAGGCAGCAGTGGCAGCTCAAGGAGTCTGGATTTACCTTCCATGTGGGAGATCTGGATTGAGTTTCTGGCTCCTAGCTCCAGGTCTGGCCCAGCCCCAAATGTTGTGGGCATTTGGGGCATGAATCAGCCAGTGGGAGCTCTCTTTCTCTGCCTCCATCTCTCTGCCTCTCAAATAAAACAGATTTTTTATTTTTTTTTAAAGAGAAAAGAATGAGAGCCAACAGAATTATTTCCTTTGGTACATGGACTGGACTGACCACTTTGCCGTATATTTAGTTTTTTTTATGTCAAGTCTATGGAGTAGGCAATGATAGTCTCGTTTCCGAGGGGGCATAAACAGGTTTCAAGAGGTTGAGTAACTTGGCGAAGGTCCCAGAACTAGCGAGGTTTGGACCCAGGGTTTGGCCCTCCTCCGTGCACTGTAGGATTGGAGCTGTCCCCACGGAGCTCCGGCACGCGTCCCTTTCCTGCCCCCAGCTCCACCTGCAGGCCTGGCTCTCTAGCATTTGCTCTGCCTGGTGTGGCAGTGTTTGTCTTCTGGAGACCGGGAACTCCTGGGGGGCAGCCAGCATGTCCCCTTTATAATGATGGCCTGGCACATGGAAGGAACTCAGTAAATGTTTGCCCAGAGAATGATGGCAACGTTGAGTTTGCCCAAACCTCATTTTACTGTCTCATCCATGTTACTTCAGTAGCAGTTAGCATGTTGGTGGTGAGGGACAACATCTTCCAAAACTCCTTTCTGTTGGTGCCACTGTGTCTCTGCTCCTGTGTCAACTGTGTGCTGTTGACAAGCAGAGCCCGTTGCCAGCTCTGCACTTAGATTTTACGTCGGTCACTTGGTATGTGTTCCTTTAAACGTTTCAAAAATGTTCTTGTGTTTTATCCATAATTGAATAAAGGTTTGGAGCTTAGAATAAAAGATTGAATGAGAAGAACAATGGCAGAACACTTTTGTTTCCCCCACAGTCCAACTACCCTTGGAAAAGCCCCCTAGCTCCAGGCGTAGAGTTCATAATGGGGATGCACATGTCCTTATGGTTTCCTCAGACCCTAGAAGGGGAAAGGTGGTAGACAGTCACTACTCACTGACAGACAGCTGTCCCCGCATCCACAGTGGAGAGCTGAGACCACAGATAGGACTGAGCCCTGCAGGTACTATGTTTTGCGCTATCAGATACGCCTATGCCAAAGTGTAACTGGTAAATTAGGTGCAGTAAGAGAGTAACAGCATTAGCATCCTATCAACCTCAGCATATCATTTCATTTTTTCTCTTCTTCTTCTTCTTCTTTTTTTTTTTTTTACAAAGACATTTATTTATGTGAAATTTCGAGTTATAGGGAGAGAGAGCTCTTCTATCCACTAGTTCACTCCCCAGATGGCTACAATGGCCAGGGCTGGGCCAGGCCAAAGCCAGGAGCCAGGAACTTCTTCCAGGTCTCCCATGGGGCTGCAGGGGCCCAGTACTTGGGCCATCTTCCACTGCTTTTCCCAGGGTATTAATGGGGAGCGGGGTCAGAAGTGGGGCAGCCAGGAACAAACTAGCACCCATATGGGATGCCAGTGTTGCAGGCAGCAGCTTTACCCACTACACCACAGTGTGGGCCCCTCCTCTTTCTTTATTAAGTTGAGAACTCTCATCTTTCACTTAAAGGAAGTACTTTATAACTTCTCTTTGGAATATCTGAATTTCCACCATTACTACTCTTGTGTCTTGGGACCATTATTTTTTTTTAAAGATTTATTTATTTGAAAGTCAGAGTTATGCAGAGAGAGAAGGAGAGGTAGAGAGAGAGAGAGAGGTCTTCCATCTGCCGGTTCACTCCCCAATTGACCTCAACGGTCGGAGCTGCACAGATCTGAAGCCAGGAGCCAGGAGCTTCTTCTGGGTCTTCCACATGGGTGCAGTGACCCAAGGACCTGGGGCATCTTCTACTGCTTTCCCAGGCACATTATCAGAGAGCTGGATCAGAAGTGGAATAGCCGGGACTCGAATCAGTGCCCAAATGGGATGTGGCACTGCAGGCAGCGGCTTTACCTGCTATACCACAGCGCCAGCCCCCAGGGACCATTATTAAATAAAACTTTAGACAAGTACTTGGATACCAGGACAGTCAATCTGGAAACTGACAGGGCTACAGAGTGACTAGTTGGGGTGGGGGTTGAGTATGCAGAGTGGAAATCCTGGACCAAAGTGGAGTCACGTGCCAGAAGGGACAGACAGCAGTGGCTTGAGATTTCATCATGATCATCAAAATCTAAAGCCTAGCAACTCCTAACTTTTTTCTTTTTTTTTTTTTTTAGATTTTATTTATTTATTTGAGAGGTAGAGTTACAGTCAGTCAGAGGGAGAGACAGAGAGAAAGGTCTTCCCTCCGCTGGTTCACTCCCCAAAAGGCTGCAATGGCCAGAGCTGTACTGGCCAGAGCTGCACTGATTCAAAGCCAAGAGCCAGTGTCTCCCACGCAGGTGCAGGGGCCTGAGGATTTGGGCCATCTTCCACTGCTTTCCCAGGCCATAGCAGAGAGCTGGATTGGAGGAGGAGCAGCCGGGACTAGAACCAGCGCCCATATGGGATGCTGGTGCCGAAGGTGGACCTGCACCACAGCGCTGGCCCCAGAAATTTCTGGTTTTTGAATTTTCCTTTTAATAATTTTGGGCTGAGGCTGACCTTGGGTCACTGAGACTGCAGAAGCTAAACTGTGGAAAAGGGAGGACTACTGTACCACCTCGACACTTTATCTGTGCTTGTTGGCGTGTTTCATTTTGCATTTTATGTGATGAGTTCTGGGATTTAGGCAGGGCCCAGTCTCCAGGCTCTCATCGCTCACAGCCTCCTGGGAGAGGACACTGTCCACTGTGGCAGATTGTGATTAGTGAGGTGCTGGGCACAGGGCAGGCCGCTGTGCGGGGGTATGGGAGGCAGCAGCAGTAGCTGGAGTTTGGTGCAAGGCTCAAACAACCATTGCTGTGTCTAGAGCAGTGCAGGACAAGTGATGGAGCCAGCAGGATTCGCACTCTGGCCCTCTGTACGAGCTCTGCTCCCAGCTGGCCCTGACTTCAGAGGAGTTGGGGTATTGGGGTGGTTATCTCTGAGGCATACCCATGTATTCATGGCTCTTATTTACAGGATCTTAAAATCACAGAGAGACGTACAGTGCAGTCTGGCCTTCCCAGTCCCTGTTTCCACTCATTCACATTTTAAAAATTTATTTACTTATTTATTAAAAAGGCAGAGGGAAAGAGAGTGATAGATAGATATCTCTTCTATCCACCGTTCACTCCCCAAATGTCTTTAACAAACCAGGGCTGGGCCAGATAGAAGCCAGAAGCCTGGAACTCAATCCGGATCTCTCATGTGGGTGTCCAAGCATTGGAGCAACCACCTGCTGCCTTCTAGGGTGTGCATTAGTAGGGAGCTGATTGGGAGTAGAGTGCGCCTGGAACCCGGGCACCTCTAATATGCAATGTGGGTATCTCAAGCTGTGTTTTAACTGCTGTGCAAAAGCCCATGCCCTATCCCTTCCCATTTATTTTCTTATGCCCAAATCACTGGTTTAGTCCGGAAGGATTGATCCATCCTGGGAACACACAAAGGGAAGGGATACAGAATGCACTGCTTTCTGAGGCCTTGCATTTTCATGGGAATTCCAAACAACAGTTACCTAAGGGAGTGTCTGAACTCTCCCTGCCCTCAGAGGGCACAGCATTCTCTCCAGGCCTGAGAAATGACGTAGCTCATAGACGGGGCCGTATGCTGCAGAAGCCTCTGGAGCTGGCCTCTCACTGCCAGGGCCTTGTCCCCGATGTTGGAAGCTCCACAAGATCCGAGGTAGAGTCCAGGGCGGGCCACGGGACGGCCAGCATTGCCACTACCTACGTCAGCCCTGGAACAGCCCTGGGAGGAAGCCTGTTCTCTCATCCTGGGTGCTGCCACTGCTGGGAGATCACGTGCAGGAGTGTTGTGCCTGGGGTCCCAGCCTGCCCCCCCCCTCCCCCCGCCCCGGCATCTCTCTGCAGGTGCCCCTTTGGTTTTGACCCGGGCGCTAAGTAGTTTTGCTCAGTATCCCTGGCTCCGGCGATAACAGGGGTTGTGAATTATGGACGCAGCAGCAAATGTTTTTCATCTCCCATGAAACAAAACCAGTGTGTTGTCTGGCCCTGGGGCTGCGGGTGAGGGAGGGAGCAGCAGCTGCCGCGATACGGCCAACTCGGCTGACGTCAATGCGAGTCATTCCAGGCCAAGGGCTCCACTCAGGAAGCTTAGAAGTGATACCGAAAACAAATTTGCATTTTTTCCTTTCACGGGAACTCGGCTCCTCTCTGTTCCACTGGGACGTTTCACCAGCCTTTGTGTGCCGTGAGGCTGTTGAACAAGCCCAGCCTGGCCCGTGATTGGACGGCGCCCTTCGGTTTTCGTCCTATGCCGCTCCTTTAAAATATATTCAGCAGGACTCCTGTTCCCTGGCCCAAGATGAAAACCCTGGCAGGCTCGAACTTTTCTGCTCTGCTCCTCTTAGGAAATGATCTGTCTAATGGTCGCTGTAAATGGAAAACAGCCTCAATTTCGAATTCCAACATCCAGGCCAAGACATCCGTCAAAACTCCACACTCTGACATCCCTGTCTCCTCCCTGCTCCAGCTGAGCCTGCTTAGGGCTGGAAGCCTGCATGGGAAATGGGTGGGGCTGGCTCTCAGCTCTCCAGCCTTGGCCTCCTGCTCCCCACTGCCCTCCTCCCAGGCTTGGACGGGAGCCTGGCTGGAGGTGAAAGCTGCCCTCTCTCCCGCCCGCCGGTGCTTGCTCTCTCTTGCCCTTCTCCTGTGTGCTCACTTGAGACTTGCTCCTCAGGCGCTCAGCTTGACCTCCAGCCTCTTGCTGCTGGGATTTCTGCCCCCGCAGTGAGCAGGCCCTCCTGCGCAGGCCCCTGGATGGCCCCGTCCTGTGTTGCCTGCCCTGACAAGTGCTGGGACCCACTCACATCCACCCCAACCCAGCACCAAAGCACATGGCAGGTGGTAAGCCTGCGTGTTAATTCCCTTGGCTACTATCACAAATGACCACAAACTCGCTGGCTTCAGACAACAGGCGTCTCTTCTCTCCCAGTTCTGGAGGATGTGCCTTAAATCAGCTTCCTCGGTGGCTGTTGGCATTCCTTCCTTTGTGGCCACATCACTGCAGTTTGTGCCTGCGGGGCCATGTTGCCCTCTTCCCTGTGTGCCATGAGGTGCTGGTTCCTTCATGTAAGGGTCTGAGGAATTGCACGTAGGGTTCATGTAATCTTTTTTTTAAGGTTTATTTTATTTTATTTGAAAGACAGAGTTACAGAGAGAGGTAGAGACAGAGAGAGAGAGAAGTCTTCCATCCGCTGGTTCACTCCCCAGATGGCCGCAATGGCCGGAGCTGTGCCGACCTGAAGCCAGGAGCCAGGAGCTTCTTCCGGGTCTCCCATGTGGGTACAGGGGCCCAAGGACTTGGACCATCTTCCACTGCTTTCCCAGGCCATAGCGAGAGCCGGATTGGAAGAGGAGCAGCCGGGACTAGCCGGGACTGGCACTCATATGGGATGCCTGTGCTTCAGGCCAGTGTTAACCCACTTCACAGTGCCGGCCCCTCAAGTAATGATTCAGGAAGAATCCAGAATACTGCACCTGCCTCCTCTGCTCGCCCTCCATCTGTGAAGACCCTTTCCAAATCAGGTCACATTGACTTACAGGTTCCAAGGATCAGATCTGACACCTAACTTTCATCCAGAGCTGCATGGTGGAGCTCTCCCAGCTTGGTGGAACCCTCCAGGAAGGCTGAGATGAGGGGGTAGGAACCAATGTCCTTTCAGGACATGCAGCCTTCTCCACAGATGGACCTCTCAGAAAGTCCTCTCTCACCCAGCTGACTCTTTATTCTCCAGTACCCAAGGAGGCCCAAGGGTCGTGGGTCAAGTCCTAGACCATTTCTGGTCACATTGGAAGTATAGCTTGACTCTCACACTGTCACTTTTCGTACTCTTACCCTTTTTTTCCCCTCAGAGAAACCTTTTATTTAAGGAATACAGACTTAATGCATTTCATAAGTTCAACTTTAGGTGCACTGTTACCTTTGCTAAGGAATTACCTGGGGATGGGGGTAGGGAGGTGGGGTTGTAACGGATGCTGCCCAGGGCTGTGGTCTTTAAAGGCTATGCAAACTGTTGCCTGCATGAGAGCCATGGGCAGCCATTGGGTGCTGAAATCTGGCCCATGCTGTGTCTGCTACGCCTGGCACCCTAGTCTTGGTGGCCTCACCTGTGGGAGCATGGGTGCCTTGTACGTGTTCACCCCATATGGTGAACCACTCCCTGCGGTTCTTTCTGGCTTTCCCTGAGCCTCTGCCTGTACCCTGGTCTCACATAGTCCAAGGACTTGCTAGTGGGTGGCTGGGTGGCATGGATGCTGCAGCCTGAGCATGGAATGCTGGTGACAAACGACACAGACCCACTTCAGTCTCTGGATTTCCAATTTGCAATCATTGTGCTGACCTGTAGTTTAGTGGTGTCATTTGTGAGGAGTCCGTGTTTGTGTGAACGCATCAGAAGTGGCCAGGTTGGTTTGGAAAGAAAAATACACTTCTCACAGAACATGATTGGAAGGTTCTAGAATGCTCAGTAATAAATCCCTTTATCTCCTTCTTTCGCCTTAGCAGTGGAGACAAGTAGCCTGTTCCTTGGCTGCCTAACGTGGAGAATGAAAAACTAGAAGACTTGGGCTAGGTTCCTAAAGATTTGGATGTGCTGATTAGCACAGACCCCATTTGTTTGCATGGTTACCTGTAACAACTGCAGTTTCTACAAGAAACTAATCAGTGTTCACAAAGATGTTGGCAAATATACTTCCTAATGATAAAGTGACCAAAGGCCTGACTTCTCGGTAGTTCTATCAGCATGCCTGAATTATGTGGTTTTGTTTTAAAGATATATGTATTTATTTGAAACGCAGAGTGAGAGAGAAGGAGAGAGGGAGAGAGTGAGAGGAAAGAGACCTATTTGCTTCCCAAATGGCCACCATAGCCAGGGCTGGGCTAGGCTGAAGCCAGGAGCCTGGAGTTCCATCTGAGTTTCCCATGTGAGTGTCAGGGACCCATCTTCTGCTGCTTTCCCAGGTGCATTAGTGGGGAGCTGCACTGAAAGCAGAGCAGCTGGGACTTGAATTGGCGCTCCAATATGGGATGTCGGCATCAAAGGCAGCAGCGTAATCTGCTGCACCTCAACACTGGCCCTTAATGGAATTTGGAGTCCCATGGCAAGTTTTTAAATGCTGGTGTTTTTTAAAGAATACAATATATTGCTTAATGATGGACAACCTGTTATACGATAGATTTTTTGAACCTATTTCTCCTATCTAACTGACCAACATCTCCCCAATACTCCCTCTCATGTCTTGAGATTTCTTTGAATCATGTGTTATTTACAAGTGCGTTATTTAGTCTTCAAGTATTTTGGTATTTTCTAGCTTTCTCTTATTGATCTCTAGTTTAATTGCATTGTGATCTGAAAGCAGACATCGTATGCTTTTTATTATTTTAAATTGTTAAGGTGTATTCTGAGGCCCAGATAGTCTGTTTGGTCTACGTGGCCCAGATGTGCCATCTGCTGTTGAAGTAGTTGGTAGATGTCAATTATATCTAGTTGATTGAGTTGCTGTTCAGTTCCGCTTTGTCCTTTTGATTTTCTTTTTTTTTTTTTTTTTTTTTTTTTGACAGGCAGAGTGGACAGTGAGAGAGAGAGACAGAGAGAGAAAGGTCTTCCTTTGCCGTTGGTTCACCCTCCAATGGCCGCCGCTGCAGCCGGCGCACCGCGCTGATCCTGGCAGGAGCCAGGTGCTTTTCCTGGTCTCCCATGGGGTGCAGGGCCCAAGCACCTGGGCCATCCTCCACTGCACTCCCTGGCCATAGCAGAGAGCTGGCCTGGAAGAGGGGCAACCGGGACAGAATCTGACGCCCCAACCAGGACTAGAACCCGGTGTGCCGGCGCCGCAAGGTGGAGGATTAGCCGTCCTTTTGATTTTCTAACTGCTGGATCTGTGGGGGGTGTTGAAGCTTCCATCGATAAGATATTTGTCTGTTTCTCTTTGTAGATGATTAGTTTTGTCTCAGGCATTAATTTTTTTAATTTGAGAGTCAGAGAAAGAGAGAGTGAGAGAGAGAAAGACAGCAATTGTTCCCATAACTGGCCCATTCTCCAAATGCCTTCAACAGCTGGAGTGGGCTGTGGTTGAAACTGGGAGCCTGAAACTCAATCCAGATCTCCTACATGGGTAGCAGAGACTCAATTATTTGAATTATCACTGTCTCCCGGGGTGTGAATTTGGCAGGAAGTTGGAGTCCGGAGCTGGAGCTGGGTATTGAACTCAGGCACTCTGAGATGTGACTGACTTAACTGGTTTCCTTTTTTTTTTTTTAAGAGTTATTTATTTCTTTATTATTTTTATTCTTTACTTTCTTATTTGAGAGGCAGAGTAACAGAGGGAGAAGGAGAGACAGAGAGAGGGAATGAGATTTTCCATCTGCTCATTCACTCCCCAAATAGCCACAATAACCAGAGGTAGGCCAAGCTGAAGCCAGGAGCCAGGAACTCCATCTGGGTCTCCCACATGGGTGGCAGAGGCTTAAGTACATAAGCCATCATCTGATGCTTTCCCTGGGGGCATTAGTAGGAAGCTGGATCAGAAGTGGAGCAGCCAGGCTCTGCACCAGCACTCCTATGTGCAATGCTGGTGTTGTAAGTGGAAGCTTAACCTACTACCCTACAAAGTCTTTCCCTTAGCTGGTGTCTTAACTGCTAGGCAAAACACCCACCTCTGCCCCAGGTATATTGATGCTCTGTTGTTAGGTACATACAAATTAAGGACTGTTAAGTTTTCTTGGAGAACTGACACCTTTATCATTATGCAATTACCTTCTTTATCCACCTTGTTCTGAAATCTGCTCAGTCAGAAATTAATATAGCTATGTACACTTTCTTTTGATTAGAGCTAGTATGGTGATTCTCCATTCCTTTACTTCTAATCTATATAAACCATTACATGTAAAATGCATGTCGTGTAGACAACATATAGTTGGATCTTTTTTTTTTGATCCACTCTGAAAATCCCAATTGCTTGTTAAATTTAGACAGTTGATGTTCAAAGTAATTATTGACACAGTTAGATCAATAGCTACTATATTTGTTACTGTGTTCTGTTCATTGTCCTTGTTCTTTGCTCTTATTTTTGTCTTCACACTTTTTTCGAGTTTTGTAATTACAAACCCACCTGTAGGCGAGCTTGTGGTTGCAGAGTCTCAGGATGTTTTTCCTTTCCATGCTGTGCCAGGGTTCAAACGAGGCAACCTGCTTTGCTGTTCCTGGTCTGGTTTGTTCCTACCCGAAGGGTATGTCATCAGTACAGGGGGCCCTGGAAGTTTCTTAATAGACTCTCAACCTTGTCTCCCATTTCCTGCACTTCTCAAGTTACTGAGCTTGGCCAATGTCCTCAAGCTACAAGCTGCCTTTAGTGTTCCCTAGGCAATTAACTTTAGTCAGATCACTTGAGAGTTCCTGATTTTGCTTAATATTGTCCTCTAAGTTTTCCTTAATTCTTTTTAAAAAAAGTGTTATTATTTAAAAAGTATTCTATTCAATATTTTGAATTGTTTTCAGCAATTGGATTAATCAGCTTATCGGTCTACAATATTACTAGAAACATGTTTTGAGTTTCCAATTATGTTCATTATTTTACTATCTTGTAAAAGATAACTTCATGGAAGAGTACTATTGCCTTCATTCTTCTACCTTTATTTAATTTGTCTTATTGAAAAGTCTTCAGAGCTGATCATGAAATAAATAGTATTTCTTAGATTTAACCAATTTATCAGTTTATTTATCTATAAAAATTTAGCCCATACTTAATGCCTGATATAGAAATGAAATAAGATAGTCAAAGCACATTGAAAATGGTAAAGGACTATATGCTCATAAATGTAAGATGTTATTATCTAAATAATTTAAAAAATCTCTTTATATCTAATCAGGTCATAGATTACTGGTGAGCACTAAATTAAAAAGAGAATTCACACTGAATGCCTGAGTGGAAGCCCCAAAGGCTGACGAGGACCAGCTGTGCACCCTAATGCCCGGCACCTGACTTTCACAGGTTCCAAGGAGTTTCTGCCTTTGGGCTTGATCCAGTTTTTTTTTTTCTTTCTTTTCCTTTTTATTTTGGAAGTCAAGAGTATAGAGAGAGGGAGAGACACAGAGGGAAAGATCTTCCATCCAGTGGTTCACTCCCCAGATAACCACAATGGCCAGCTCTGAACCAGGCTGAAGGCCACGTGGGTGGCAGGGGCCCAGACACTTGAGCCATCTTCCACTGTTTTTTCCCAGGCCATTAGCAGGGAGCTGGATTGGAAGTGGGAGCAGCCACGACAAACTGGCACCCATGTAGGATGCCAGCACCACAGGTTGCAACTTTACCTGCCTATGCCGCAGTGCTGACCCTGACCCAGAGCTTCATGCAAAGCAAGCAAACAGAGTCATTTGAGCAAAGTGGCCTTGGGAAAGTTCACTGCTGAATTTGATTTCTGGACAATCGTGGCTCTGATGTGTTGTTCTTGGGATTTGAGAATTTGTTGAGGTCAAAAAACCCTGACGTGTTTCATGGCCTGTGTTTCTCTAGGTCAGGCTCTTCCTCCATGGTGGCACTGCTGTATTTTGCATGTGAGAGGAGGGTGAGTTTGGCCTTCTCCATGTGTGCCTGAAGCCCACGGAGGGCACGAGTTTCAAACAGTGAAGAACACAGGCCTGGGAAGCAGCCACCCTGTGCTGGGGCTCTGCCTCCGCTGCCTGGAGCTCTGTGGCTTTGCCTAGTTGTTCTCCCTCTCCAAGCCTGATTTTCCTCACCCTCAAAAGAAGACAACTGGGGCAGGCGCTATGGAGTAGCAGCTAAAGCCATGCTTGCAGTGGCGGTATTCCATATGGATGCCGTTTCGAGTCTGATCCGGCTCTCTGCTGTGGCCTGGGAAAGCAGTAGATGGCCCAAGTCCTTGGGCCCCTGCACCTGCGTGGGAGACCCAGAAGAAGCTCCTGGCTCCTGGCTTTGAATCGGCCCAGCTCCGGCTGTTGCGGCCATCTGGAGAGTGAACCAGCAGGTGGAAGACCTCTCTCTCTCTGCCTCTGTGTCTCTGTAACTCTGCCTTTCAAGTAAATAAATTAATTAAAAAAAAAAAAAAAAGAAGACAATTATCCTCACTCCTGAAGCTTTGGTGAGACCTTAGTCAAAGAAGCTGTTTAGTGCTTAGTTCAGTGATTGCCACGTGGGACACTTTCGTTACTAAGTATTTGTGAAATGTCTCAGCCACATCTTCAGACTCTGAGGAGCAACTATTCTCAACCTTGATGGGACACAGGGCTCTCCTGGAGAGCTTTGGAACCCGCTGTGGCCCAGGCCAGACCCAGTCACATCAGAATCACCAAGTGTGCAACAGAGGTGAAGTGCACTCTGGGGTCTGGTCCAAGTCCGTGGAAGACGCTCAGCTTTCTGCAGGAGTACCCTCCACAGGCTCATCTCGTGGGGGCTCCCAGGAGCAGAGCTACCCTGTAGGGGCTGTGAGGCGTTAACCTGGCTAAGGAAGAGGGAAGCAAAAGCCCTGTGGCAGCAGGGGCTCCAGGATGACTTGAGAAACCAGAAGCCCTGCAGGTGGCAGGGCAGGAGGCAGGTGAGGTGAGGGGGAGACCACCAGATTCATGTTCACAAGGCTACTCTGGCTTCAGTGTGGGAAAGGAGGCGAGAGCTGAGTCCTCAATGAGGCTGGCCCTGGGAGCTTGGTCCTGGCTTCTGGGTGGACAGGAGTGGACAGTGCCAGAGACATGTGCTTGGTGAAGTGGACAGGACTTGAGTGGAGCCAGAGGGACGAATGAATGCCCTGGGAGAGGGAACGAGGGCTTGAGGCTGGTGAGGGCCTGTGTGCCAAAGAAGTGACTGAGAAGAGTTTGTTGCCCCTGCAGTGGCTGGTTGCAGGCGTGGCCTCGGGCATCTCGCTTTGTCTCAGTTCCTGAGGGTAGACGGTGGGTTTGGAGCAGTGCTCCCAGGAGCCTTGGGCCCACATGCCATGCCTCACAGAATCAGCATCACAGACCTCACACCTGGCACACCCGCCACGCATCTGGCTCACGCGTGCCTAAGGCAGGTTTCACTGCTGCATTCTAAAAACGGCCACCAAATGCTACCAACAGTACAGGCCGTGAGCTGTGTGAGGGCTGCCATGCTCAGGTCAGCCCTGTGAGAGATCTTCCAAACACTGGTTCATTCCCCAGTGTGCCTGCAACAGCTGGCTAGGAGCCAGAAACTCCACCCGTGGGACCCAACTACTTGAGTCATATCTGCTGCCTACCAGGGTGTGAATTAGCAGGAAGCTGCATCTGAAGCAAAGGTGAGACTCAGTCCCAGGCACTCAGATGTGGTTGTCTCAAGTGCTGGCTTAAACCTGCGTGCCACTGCCTGTCCTCGTTCCTGTCTGTGTCTTTATCTCCTCTTCTTATAAGGACCCCTTGGGAACCCATCCTAATGACTTCATTTGCACTTAGTTATCCATTTAAAGACTCTGTCTTCAAATATAGTCACATTCTGAGGTACTGGGGGTTAGGACTTCAATATATGAGTTTTAGGGGCTGGGGCACAATTAGCCCATAACAATTTCCTGAAATGATGAATAGGATAATCAAGGCACTGGACTAGATGTCTAAGAGACTTGTAGACAATGTCTGTTAGATTGAAAGCATTCAAGTAAAGGATGGTGGTGGGTTGGGCAGGGTGTGTGTGCATGTGTGGGGTTTCTCTAACTCATGTGGTAGAACTGAGTTGGCATCTAGCTTATGGGTGACATCCCCTTACCCCTGCTGAGGTCTGCTATTTAGAGTCACATTTTAAAACACATTTTCATTTGCTTACTAGTTCCTTTAAAAATAATCATTGAATACATCAACTTCAAAATAGGAGAAAACCTGATGCTATCAATCTAATCTCTAGTATATAAATCACAAACTGTGAATTATTATTATTTTTAAAAAGTGCCAGTTGAGTAAGAAATTAGGAGAATATTATATCGCAGTTGTAATTCAAATAGACTGTGGAATATTCTTTCTTTTGTGTTGGTTATAATAGACAGACCTTTATTGAAAAAGCTGTATTTTCAAACTCAAGTTAGACAATCATTTATGTATTCATCAATCTTCAATTCACACTAAAATGAAGAATGGACTTTTTTCTTGGGAACATAGGTGTTTTGTTTTTAATATTTTTAAAGTTTAGAACAAAGGGTGATAAAGAAATAAGGTAGAATTGTTTGTTAAAATATCAATTCAAATTAAAATTCATTATAATGGTTACAGCAGCTAACATGTATTAAATGATTATATGCAAGGCACTGTGGAATATGTTTATATACTTTTCATTTTTCCAGATTTATTGAGGTATGATTGACACATAAAATTGTGTGTATTTAAAGTATATAATATGACTTTCTGATACATGTGGGTATTATGAACTGATTGTAACATGGGAGTTAATTAACATATCCATCACCTCATGTAGTTGCCATTTTTTATTGGTTTTGAGAACACTTAATGTCTACTTTCTTAGCAAATTTCAAGTATATCATATAGTAAAATTAACTATCATCACTACACTATGCATTAGGTCTCTGAAATTTATTCCACTTTGATCATGAGCAGTGACTTTACATACATTGAGTCCTTCCATCTCCTTCCAAGGCCTGTTCCCTTGGTGTCCATCCCAACACTGAGTGCCTATAATGGCCAGGCCCTTTGCTAGACTCTGTGACATGATTTCCAGTTTCAGGAAACTCACAGTGTCATGGGGACACAGGCAAGTATAAGCCCGTGATGATGACCCATTCTGAGAAGGGCTGTGGTAATGGCCAGCCCAGGACAGAGTGTGAATGCAAAGGAGGTTTTGTTTTTTGTTTTTAATCTCAGATTAGGGAGGTCAGAAGGCAAGTAGGAGCTGGAAGGCAGTGAGAGAAGGGAGAGAAGTATGAGCAAGAGAGGGTGAGAGGTTAAAGAGAAGAGACCAAAGAATAGACAGGAAAGATGGGCAGAGCCTAGCAACATGTCTTGGGTTTGACTTGGCAATTTTTTTTAATAAGGGCCATTGATTGGTTCCTGATATTTGGGTCTGTTATGTGTCTGTTCCCTATTTTCTGAAAATAATATGACCTCTCTCCAGGCTCAGGAATGACCTTGAAGTTCAGATGGGACCACTTAGCCTACCCAACTTCCAGAACACAGAGATTGGTTAAGGGATGAGCGTGTTGACACGGACTGGCTCAAAGAGGGCCAACGCCAATGCCTTTACTAGAGCTGCCTTCTTCTGGGCTGCTCAATGAGGATGTGAGTTGGGAGTCACTAACAGCTGTTTTTCTTCCTTGAGGGTAAACCTGGCTAAGAATGACACCAAGTAATAAAAGCAGAAACAGGCACTTGAGAAGGCTGGCTGGACCCTGGGCCCAACTGTAATTAAAATCTGTCCCCAGACTTCTGGTGTTAGAGCAATTTGTTCGTGTATTTATTATATTTTGCTTAAGCTGTTTGCCACCAAGAGCTGAGATGATCAATGAGTCTCAGAGAGTTTGGTCCACAGCAGTGGAAACAAGCATTTTGT